AAAAAAAAATGACGTGCATCAAGGTCCTATTATGTTTAATGTATGTACCAAATTTGAACGAAATCCGTCCATGCATAACTGAGATCCGGGTCCGGAATGGTGAAAATGTGCCATTTTGATGCATTTTCGGCCTTAAAATGGCCGCTATTCGGCTATCGTTAATCAGATCATGAAAAAAATGCATGTGCATATGTCCCATATAATGTGTGATGTATGAGTGAAGTTTGAACATAATCGGTCCATGCATGTTCGAGATACAGGTGATCACGGACGCACGGACGGACACACACAGGGCAAAACATAAGTCCCCGTTTTCGGACTCCGTCCGAACGGGGACTAACAAAATGGCCGCCAGTCGTCCATTTTGAACTTGATCCGGAAAAAAAATAATGTGCATCAAGGTCCTATTATGTTTAATGTATGTACCAAATTTGACTGAAATCCGTCCATGCATAACTGAGACCCGGGTTCGGAATGGTGAAAATGTGTGATTTTGATGCATTTTCGGCCTTAAAATGGCCGCTATTCGGCTATCGTTAATCGGATCATGAAAAAAATGCACGTGCATATGTCCCACATAATGTGTGATGTCTGAGTGAAGTTTGAACTTAATCAGTCCATGCATGTTCGAGATACAGGTGATCACGGACGCATGCACGGATGCACAGAGGGCAAAACATAAGTCCCCGTTTTCAGACTACGTCCGAACGGGGACTAAAAAGTCATTGACACAGTAAACAAAACTGAATTGAACAAATGCATGTCAATATGAGCAAGTGTTTGCCAAAGTGCAGTGAAGATATATGTCAGAGACAAGGCATTCAGTAAAACAAAATGACCAAACACAAGTTATTGCCAATGACAAGTCCCTGTCCAGTTTTAGTGACGATTAGTGCCAATAATTATTTAAGCTCAAAGTGATACATGATACAAAGTGAAGGCAGTTTATTTGTGCAATTCCTTTCTTTATTTTGAATAAGAATCTGAAACAAATGCATGTGGCAAAAGTGTTACATGATGTACATGTAAAGTTTGAACATCAGTCCAGCCATGTTGGCAATATGGCTTCAAAAACAACATTCGTTAAAACAATTTAAAGGAGAGTACAGGAGGAAGACGGAGAAAGGATGGAGTAGTGGAAAAAAAAGAGAAAAGCACAAGAGAGAAATTATGCTGTTAAGGACAACAGTATTCTATTCCAGAATGTCATTTCAACTCACATCTCACTTACCTTCTTGTTTGTCTTTGTCTTCTGGTTTTTCGGCTTTTTCTTTGTCTTCCTTTATAGTCTTGGTCTCAGTGCTATCATTTTCAATTTCAACTTTATTTTCCTTCTCATTCTCTGCAGCAGATTCAGTAGCACTGGTAGCAGGTGGTTCCACACCTATGGAAGGTAATGAACAGATTCACTACATAGAAAATCTCACTAATTCATACTAACCAGAAAGTTAATGTGCTTGGATGTGTTGCAAAATTAAATATTCGTTTGAAAGTCAATCTTAGTTTTAATGACTACCTATTTGTGTCTGTACATAGGGATCTGCCCGATGTCGGTAGCTAGCAGTCGGCACTAAGAATTTACGACCAGAACAAAAAGTTGCTGACTGGCACTATTCTATTGTTTATAATACACAGAGGGTGTCGGCCACTTTATCATCGTGCTATTGTCCTTGTCGGTTTTTAACACAGTGGGAACAATAACGCAGAACTTGAATGAAATGGAAATTTTCAAAATCAACGTACATGTGTGACATTCTCACAAATGTGTTTTTATTTTCATCACACACTGATTGACATTCTGTTAGAATATTATATACTAAATAGCAACACATTATAATATAGATGTTCCACCACAATTCAAATTGAAAAATTTTCTAATAACACTAAGAATGCAATTTAGAATGCACAAAAGTTCAAGCTTTTTCTAGCAAAGGACTGATGATATGTAATGCGACTGACTAACATTGTGACACATACCAGGTGGAGCAGGTTCTGGTTCAGTGTCATCACTATCACTAGCACTCCCACTATCATTCTCATCAAAGTTGTATTCATGTCGTCGTTTGCGGGATTTCTCTTCTCGCTTTGGTTTCTCCTCCTTATCCTCGTTTTCTTCCTTGGGGAGGTTTTCAGCTGTCTTAACATTATTGGTTTGTTCTGTAATCTGTCCCTGAAGAGTAAAATAATAACACACAATGTTAGAAGCAGTTTACAGTAACCATAACACGTACACAGTAAACATTTTTATATGCCTTCATTTTGCAGCTCAGTATAGTGTGTACCGACAGTTGCCATTTGTAGGAACTGTACGCAGAGAACACTAGCAGTGCTTGTTAGCTAGGTTCTGATAATGTAACTGTGCAACTGTTTTGGAGAGTATAAAATTCATTCAAACATCTGAGAGGCATGTAATAACTGATCACTGGGTAATTTTGCTCCATCCAAGGGGAACATTTGATTTCTTTGTACTTACCGATTCACCATCTA